GTGTTCACAAGGGAACAGGACATGAAATATTGCCATGTCATTGAAAGTAAAACCCAATCCTTTTTTCCAGTATACTAGTTTGTTTAGTAATGGATTTGTAGCAACTGCTGTGTTTTTCCACACCCACATTTTATTTGTCTGCAATTGGCTAATAAATCAATACTGCCTTTCTATAGAACAATTTAGCCATTGCTGTCGTTGCTTTGAATTTTTCGGTTTTGAACTTGCTTACTTGTTTCATTAGTACAAATTTAGCAATTGGTCAATTTTTAACCAATCATATATTTTAGTGCAAAATCAACTTTTCCCACAGTTTCGCTGGGAGCCTATCTGTAGCTATAAAAGAGGCAACTTTTTCACAAGCCGCTAGTAGAGTCCACTAAATTTCGCCTGTCAACACAAACCTATGACTTTACTCACAACATTTCAAATGCACACACAGACACATAATTTTGTTATACGTATATACATATCTCTGACTCTGCCAAGTTCAATCAACCAGGACTCTGTTGATTTCTCTAACACAACATAATTTCTGATCAATTGTATTCTTGTTATCTATTCTAACAGCAGACTTGTTCTAACATTGATTCCTGAACATTTCTCTCAAAAGAGAACTTTCTTTCAAACAATCAATTACAAATCAAAATACAGTAAAAGGGGAGCAACTTCTTTTCCCTTAATCTACACATTGAATACAAATTATTGTATATTTTGTTCTTGTATGTTATTTCGATATATACTTGTTGATTCACATTTGGAGTTTCGTTGTTTTCTTGAATCATTAATAATACAGAAGATATATGCACTAAAGAACATGCACCCATAACAGATTCACTTGACATTGCTTGGTGGTAGATAGGTGATAATTGAGACATCTTCACTGCTACTTCTGTCTTCTCTCACAAAAGACAAACAGACCAGATCTTCCCTTCTGCCAAAAAGAATTCTCTTGCTCTAAATACCTGTCTCCAGTGATTATGACGTCCCTTCTGTTCCAAGTCTCCTCTCCTGTTCTAAGTACCCATCTACCATAACAGAATGTACTTTCTACTTAATTCTAAAGAGGTGTACTTTGGAATTAATGTCAAACTAAACAGATGGGGGTGAAATAAAGAAATAAGTATCAAGAAAGTAAATTTTGTTATTGTCATGAAACTGATGGCTTTTCTATTATTTGTTTATTATAAACATTTGACAGATTTTTATATATGTATTTAATTGGTTAAGTCAAAAGGTAAAATTAAGATTCTTTGGTGATGTTAGCTGTTCTGAGATAATGAAAGTTAATAGCTTATAACACCTTCACCTCCCTCCCACTCCAAAATGATTAAAAGCATCTCTTTTGTCCCCTATATGCAATGCTGAAGTATAGTGAAATGAAGGAAAATGAGATGCATTTTCATCATTCTATTTCTTCATCTTTTATTTCTGGAAAAGAAAAATGCTATAAAAACAGTAAAAATAGGTGCTATTTATGGAGATGGTGCCATAGCTAAGAGTACTGTTTGTAAATGGTTGTCTAGCTTTAGAAGTGGAAATTTTGATCTGGAAGATTGAAAAGAATCCAGCAGGCCTTTAGTTGATCATGATGACCATATTGAAATGTTGATTAAAAATACTCCGGTAACATAACATGGGATATAACAGATGCTCCTTATATCTCATAGGAATATTGTATGGCATTTCAAAACACTTTGCTACATGAATCACAACAATGTGTGGTAGTCTTGTGATTTAATGGAAGAATTTGAGAACTGCATTTCCATATGCAATTCTCTGCTCAAAAAGGCACAAAAATGACCTAATTTTTAAAAGTATGGTCACAGGAGAGAAAAAAGGATGTGGCACAAAACATTTCTGGTGAAAACAAAAGGAGACCTTTTTTAACTAATCAAAAATCAGACTGCATCTGAAGAAGATGGTGCTGTGTATCTGGTGGGTTTGGAAGAGCACTCTGTATTCTGTGTTCCTTTCACAAAATCAAATTCAGACAAATACTCTTCCTGATTATACTTATTAATGGCAGCAATTGATAAAAAGTGCCAGGAATTGGCCAATTGGATAGGAGTCATCTTCCATCAAGATAACCTTAGGATGTCCTACTATACCCACCATACTCACCTGACCATGAACCTTTGGATGACCACATTTTGATCTCTACAAAATTATCATAAGAGGAAGAATTTTCTGGAAACCTTTATAAATAGCTCAGAATTATGCTAAGTTCTGTGAGGATGGAATCATGAAGCTGCTTCAAAGATAAAATTGCATATATAAGGTTTAGTAAATCTATGTACAAATTTCTAAACATTGTCTTTGAATACCTATAAAAATGCTATAAACTTTATTTTGACCCAATATACTGTAATATCAAATGCAAATGACCAGTGGGGGCATATGTCTTATATGCCAATAAATATGGTAAATTGTTCACTCATTTATATAATCATTTCCATTGCAAACATTATCATTTGTGATAGCATTGTTATTTGAACATTATTTGTGATTTTAGTTTTGTGATTTTAAGATGAACATTATTTGTGATTTTAGTTTTGTGATTTTAAGATGAACATTATTTGTGATTTTAAGACAAACATTATCTGTGATTTTAAGACAAACATTATCTGTGATTTTAAGACAAACATTATCTGTGATTTTAAGACAAACATTATCTGTGATTTTAAGACAAACATTACTGTGATTTTAAGACAAACATTATCTGATTTTGATTTTAAGACAAACATTATCTGTGATTTTAAGACAAACATTATCTGTGATTTTAAGACAAACATTTCTGTGAAGACAAACATTATCTGTGATTTTAAGACAAACATTATCTGTGATTTTAAGACAAACATTATCTGTGATTTTAAGACAAACATTATCTGTGATTTTAAGACAAACATTATCTGTGATTTTAAGACAAACATTATCTGTGATTTTAAGACAAACATTATCTGATTTTAAGACAACATTATCTGTGATTTTAAGACAAACATTATCTGTGATTTTAAGACAAACATTTTGATTTTAAGACAAACATTATCTGTGATTTTAAGACAAACATTATCTGTGATTTTAAGACAAACATTATCTGTGATTTTAAGACAAACATTATCTGTGATTTTAAGACAAACATTATCATTTGTGATAGCATTGTTATAACTTTTGTGATTTTAAGACATTTATTATTGATGTACTCATTTTTGTGGCCATTATTGCTATTATTTTTATTATCAATCTTAAGGGGGTTACTATTTTTATTACTTCAGTGTAATTTTATTATTATTAGCCTCCTTGTCTTTCTTTGGCATTTATTGCAAATTAAATAAAAATGAGAGGCTTATTGGAGCAAGAATCAATCAAATAGGCTTATAGATTTTTGTTAAATCTATTGATTTTTCCTTGTGTTCAATTGATTTTCTGTGTAAAATGTTTAAATCCATTAATATGCAAGTATTTCAGAATATTTACTACTGCATTTTGTATTGCTAACAATCCTCCCTGATTCTCTACTGATATTTATACAGAATTTCCAGATAAAAAAAAACTGGCAGTAAATATGTCCTATTGAACATTTGAGGCTGGTGATGATTTAGGCTCACCCTTCTATCCCATAAGTCTTGGTTGACACTTTATTAACATCATCAATCTATTTAAATCTATGTTGCAATCTATTTAAACTAGTTCAGTACCTGTCATTTCATTGATGGCAAGATGATCAGATTTCAAATCTAAATTGCTTGTTCATTTAAAATACAACATTTATTAGAAAATAGATTTAGTTTCAATACAGGAGTCATAAAAAATACTTCAAAAGCTGCCCATTTCAGCTGATATATTTTTCCTGTTACTCAAGAGTTGTTGCCAGTTAAAAAGAGAAAGCACCCCTTGCAACACAAATATTCACTTGGGTTTTATTCAAATTGTGTATTAATTCAATGACAGACCTAAAAATATTTATAAAATATTTAAAAAAAGAATGGAAAAAAACTTTTAAAAATATTTCTTTATTACCAAATAATTTACAAAGTTCAATAAAATCTTATAGTTGATGTTTTTTGTCTCCATCTTTGATTTTGCTGCTCAGCTCGGTCTGGGTAATCCAGATTGAGTGGGACAGGAACGCATTGCCCCAATGTCTAATTTCAAACTCAATCAAATTGATGCGTGCTTACATTAAATTGCACAAGTATATATGTTTCTTACAGACATCTGCACATACAGTATATATACTCATACAAAGTCACCACAGGCAAACATTGCATGATAGACAACTATTCTTTTATAATAAAGACAAACTTTTTGAAGAGCGAGATAAGTTTGATTTTTATGCCAACAAATGGCATCCTATGATGTGAAGAGATGACATTTTTTTTGTTTCACATTTTGTGGATATAACAACTATTTCTTTTTTTTATCTCTCATAGTATGGTGATAAACTAGTTTTCTTCATGCTGTTTGGTAATACCTGGTTGTTTTGTTCTTCATGCTATATGGTAATAATCATTTGTTGTTTTCTTCATTCTTTAGAGTAATATTTGGTCATTTTCTTTCTGCTGTATCCTAATATCTGGTTGTTGTTGGTGTCATGCTGTGGGGTAATACCTGGTTGTTGTCGTCTTCATGCTGTGGGGTAATATCTGGTTGTTGTTGGTGTCATGCTGTGGGGTAATATCTGGTTGTTGTTGGTGTCATGCTGTGGGGTAATACCTGGTTGTTGTCTTCTTCGTGCTGTGGGGTAACACCTGGCTGTTGCCGCCTTCGTGGTGTGTGGTAACACCTGGCTGCTGTGGTGTGTGGTAACACCTGGCTGTTGCCGCTAACCGTGGGTGTGTGGTAACACCTGGCTGTTAACACCGGCCGTGGTGTGTGGTAACACCTGGCTGTTGCCCGCCGTGGTGTGGTAACACCTGGCTGTTTGGCCTTCGTGGTGTGTGGTAACACCTGGCTGTTGCCGCCTTCGCGGGTGTGTGTGGTAACACCTGGCTGTTGCCTTACCGTGGTGTGTGGTAACACCTGGCTGTTGCCGCCTTCGTGGTGTGTGGTAACACCTGGCTGTTGCCGCCTTCGTGGTGTGTGGTAACACCTGGCTGTTGCCGCCTTCGTGGTGTGTGGTAACACCTGGCTGTTGCCGCCTTCCCGGGGTGTGGTAACACCTGGCTGTTGCCGCCGTGGTGTGTGGTAACACCTGGCTGTTGCCGCCTTCGTGGTGTGTGGTAACACCTGGCTGTTGCCGCCTTCGTGGTGTGTGGTAACACCTGGCTGTTGCCGCCTTCGTGGTGTGTGGTAACACCTGGCTGTTGCCGCCTTCGTGGTGTGTGGTAACACCTGGCTGTTGCCGCCGCCGTGGTGTGTGTAACACCTGGCTGTTGCCGCCCATTGGTGTGTGGTAACACCTGGCTGTTGCCCGCTTTCGTGGTGTGTGGTAACACCTGGCTGTTGCCGCCGGTGTGTGGTAACACCTGGGTGTGTGGTAACACCTGGCTGTTGTCACGGGTGGTGGTGTGTGGTAACACCTGGCTGTTGCCGCCGTGGTGTGTGGTAACACCTGGCTGTTGCCGCCTTCGTGGGGTGTGTGGTAACACCTGGCTGTGTTGTAACGCTGGCTTCGTGAGTGTGGTAACACCTGGCTGTTGCCACTTTCGTGGTGTGTGTGGTAACACCTGGCTGTTGCCCTTTCGTGGTGTGTGGTAACACCTGGCTGTTAACACCTGGCTGTTAAGCCGCGGTGTGTGGTAACACCGGCTGTTGCCGCCGTGGTGTGTGGTAACACCTGGCTGTTGCCGCATTGCGGGTGTGTGGTAACACCTGGCTGTTGCAGCCGTGGTGGTGTGGTAACACCTGTTGCTGTCATGGTGGTGTGTGGTAACACCTGGCTGTTGTCACCGTGGTGTGTGGTAACACCTGGCTGTTGCCGCCCGTGGTGTGTGGTAACACCTGGCTGTTGTTGCCTGTTGCCGTGGTGTGTGTGGTAACACCCTGGCTGTTGCCTGGCCCCGTGGTGTGTGGTAACACCTGGCTGTTGCCGCCTTCGTGGTGTGTGGTAACACCTGGCTGTTGCCGCCTTCGTGGTGTGTGGTAACACCTGGCTGTTGTTTTCTGTCTACTGTGCGGAGTAATTGTTATGAAATGAACTCTTCTTTTTGTATGTAAATTTATTGTATGTAAATGAACATACATTTTCTTTTTATAAATTCTGCTGTATTTTGGAGAGGGGAATTATGTGGAGAGACACCAATAGTGTTGTTCGGCTCAGTTTCTTTCGTTGAATACAGCCTTTCTTAAGGTTATCGTCATCTCATCTTCCTGCTGCTTTGAATTGCTTTTAAATTAATAACAGTAATACTGAGTTGTTTTCTTTATGCTTTATCCAGTTTTTGTTTTCTTCATGCTCTCAGGTAATACCTTGTTAGTGATGTTGTTGCCCCCACATATCTTTGGGTGTCTCTCTTACTCTTACCTCCTGCTTATCTCTCTCTCAATGGATTGTTTACCTCCCCCCTCCATGACGATTTTTATTTAGTCACCCTTTCCTGTCAAATTTACATCTCCCCCTGCTCTTGCTTGCATGCTCATTATTTTTTTTTTTAATATTTGTACTTTTCTTATCACAAAATATAGATAAGATTCTGATAAAAAAAGGGATGGTAAGTAACTCTTATTTCATACCCATCTGTTCAATTCTCCTTAAAATTAGTCCCTCTAATCCTCCAATCATCCTTACCAATTTGAAATTTTATCACTTTCTTTGATAATTGTTTGTTCTTGGATATTTTATTATTGATTTTGGGATCAAATATGAATTTTGGGATGAAATATGAATTTGAATCTGACAGAATAAGAAGATAACAAATAAGAAATGTTTATTGCATTTATCAAACATGTTACACTTTTATTAAGACTTCATCAGAGAATGAGATATGGAGAAGAAGAAATTCTGATATTTTTGCTTTTGTGTTTGATTTTCATTGGTCAATCATGTTTCATGCGCATTCAACTCTTTAAACCAATGTTAGTATAATTTGTGATGTTCCAAATTCAAGGAGTATATATAAGTTTGCACTATTTTAAATGCTTTTAAAAAAAAAGAAGCTTTTTAATACTCATAAAAATAATAATCTGTATGCATGCTTGTAAGGGTTGTAACAATTTCATTTTTAAATACTTTTGTCATACCCTGTCAGAACTAGAATTCTTTAGATCAAATGAAAATGATCATTTCAACATCCACAGCTCACATGATAAAAACAGACCTTAATTTTGTGTGGTTCTACACACCCACTTTCAGAATACAGTCCCAAAATACAAGGGTCATAAAATATAGTTTCTAACCAATCAGAAAAAGTTCACAAAAAGCTACCCACCAACTATAAAGCCAACACTGTTTCCACCCATGATGGTGGTTTGATTTGGCTGGCATTAGTAATGTACACCATGGAAGGCATCACAAGTAATACTAAGCTGTTTTTCTATAAACAATGATGCTTTCGGTCAGTGATGAAATCAGTGGCAGCAGCAGAGACTAAATCTCAAATACTACAATATAATAATTCACTTCTTATGAGTACTGATTTTCTCCATGTGTTCTTTTCGACTATTACCTTGTGTTATACACTAAACAATCTCCCAGTCTCCCTTGACTGATGTACAATATCCTGGAACAAGCAAATGATCAAACTTTGTAAATGAAAACTCTTTTACTTACGTCAACCATGTGTTATTTCCATTTGTTGTTTTATCACACCTACTTTTTTTTTCTTGTTAATAATAAGGCCACAATTACATGCTCAACAAAGACTGGCAAAAAGATTAAACAACAGAATATTAGTTAATTTCATTCTCTGTTTAAGGTAAGCAATGATCCTTAAAGAAGAGTTGAAAATTTGTGATGTAACTAATAAACAAGGTTGACTAAACATAAAAACTGATTAGTTGTCTCCCACCCACAAACAAACATTGATAACTGATTCATCAGCAAATGCTCATGAGGTTGAGTACTGATTGTCAGCCAATTAATTGGTGCAACTCTAACACACACACACACAGTCTTCATGCAATTGAGAACTGGTGGTACACACTTTATATAACTTAGCTGTCAATTAGTGGGGTTCTTAATGTGCATGTGTTAACATTTTCCTGTGCTGTCAAGTGAGCACGTTGCAGGAGGACTAAAGGTGATTTTATCCTAGATAAGCTCCTTTTTGTTTGCTTTTTTTTTCTCATTAATATTAACTGTACATGTTCAAAACATATCATATAATTGGGTCAATATTTTAATAATTTTTAATTAATTTGATCTATTCTTTAAGCTATGTTAGTGTATCAGGGTCCTTGGTCTCACTAAAGTTGAAACAGTTTTCTTTGTTATGCACAAGTTTATTTAATCAGTAGAGCTGCAGAATAGTATGATTCTAGTTTTTTCACTGAAAATAATTTTTGGTTAAAGGTACTTATGTTCACTTTACAATAATGCTTCTTGGGAAACTGTCCTGGGTATGATGATAAACTACATCGGTGTTCTAGGTAAGACGATAAGCTACATCCAACAACAAGGCCTCTGATCAGGAGGTTTTGAGAAGCGTGGAACCACCTCTTAGTTGCTGGTGTTCCCAGGCCCACCCTGACCTGGGGTGGTAGCACCTGTTAGGGTCACAGCTATGGACAAATAGTTAACCCTGACACTGAGGTAAAAGGCATTATGAAAGTGTAAAAATAGGTTTTAATACCAGAAATACTTTGTAAAAAACATTATTACCAGAAATAAATTTTTCAAGGGGAAAAAAAAACTATTACCAGCAATATATTTTAAGGAAAGAAATATTACCAGAAATAGATTTTTGACAAAACAAAATACTATCATGAAAAAAAAGTTGTCAGCATTAAATATCCCATTGAGGTTGACATGCCGTAAAACAAACCAAACTTTTTGGGAAAAGTATGAATCCACTTCCCCTTGTTTATCAAGTTGTCTTGACAACAATGTCTTATGACTGTCATATAGCAGTGGCAGAAGGTGGTAATGAAGGTGCAAGCTGGTGGCACTAAGGAATATAACTCGTCCAAAACATCTGCCATAGTAATATTGATATACTAGTGAAAAACTGACAATGTTTCATCTGTGGGATAAGGGTTGGTGGATGGAGAATAATTAATCACCCACAAGGCTGTGTAAACACTGTTGAACTCTGTCAAGGCTGGACAGTGAGGATTGGGCAGCACCAGCCCACATATATGGCAGCAGTACAACATCTTTGGTCTGATCTGACTCTTATAATGATAGGGCATGGCAGTGAGAATTAGGTATTTTCTAGTGCAATAAAATCAACCAACCATTCTTCCAGCATCTTTTGCAATGACATGAATATACACATTCCATTTGTGGTTGAGAATGAGCTTTAGCACTAGTTGGCATTTGAGGCAAGGAGCCTCTTTGAGGGTATGACCACTCATCAGTGCAGGTTTAGAGTCTGCCCTGTGTTGTTTTACCTCCCACTTATATAAAAACATCTGCTTTCAATGAGTCTGTTTTAATTTACTGAATAACTTTTAAATTTCACTTTTGTTTGAAACAAAAAAATCTTTTCTATAATACATTTTTTATAATAAAAGAACGTATTTGGAAGCCCAACAGTTATTGGCACAGAAAACGGAATTGGTGTGCTGAGTTCAAGATATTGCTTAGTCTGTGATGTACACTTTGTAAGAATTTTCTTAGGCATGAATTTATTTATCTCTCCTCCCGACCAGACAGTGCAGTAAAAAATTCAGTTATGAAGAAGGCAGCAGGAAATTATCCCACAAAACTATCTTTCCCAAAAAGTCATAATTCACAAATAATAAAGAAAAGGAATCTATGAACAGATAGGGTTGTTGACATTCTGAAGAGACGTCATTAGAATAAAAGAAAAAATATATATTGAAATATATTGGTACAAGATGACTATTTTGTATTTTAAAAAAAATCCGAGGTTACTCAAATAAACAGAGCACAAGACCTACTTAAGTTTTTGAATCATCCGTCAGTATCACTTTCTTCCTTTTCTCTCGTTTTGTAACACGCACTCAGTATTGTGTGCAATTTTTACGTTTATTGATTATTCAAATGTTTCTGGGTTATCTCCCTTTGGAAAAGATTTTTCTCCCTTAGTATACTGAGTTTGGTTTTTAAACTTGTTCACACTTTACATAATATTCTTCTTTTAAAATCGAAATTAATATTTTAAAAATTGTACTACCAAACTGAAAAAAAAATGTCTAATCATTCAGTTGAACTTGCCTTTTCCTACTTATAATTTTGAGATTTAAAAAATGCTGAATGAAGAAACAGTAAACTGATTTAAGCTTACATTTTCTCAATGTAATTTACATGAATAAGATTTTAACTTTTATGTAAATAAAAAAAAAACTAAAACCGTTTATTTCAGAGAAAAATTCGTTGAGTAAAGAGCTATGGTTTACATAATTTCATTATAAAAATGTGTACATATATAGATCTTTTTTCTGTACATATTCCAATATGACTTGACTAATTTAAAATTTGAGAAGGCAGTTTTAAAAAGCTTTGATAACTACAAATAAAATTAAACAAACAGTTTTAGATTGCAATACAGAAAAATGAAAATTGGGGTTGATTGTCATGTGTATGTTTTGAATGCATTTCAAAATGTATAAGTATTTAATAAAATATATAAAATAAAAATGGGGGTAAGATAAAATGTTTTCATCCCCACCCACTTCCCAATATTTGACCAAACATCAGAATCTTTTAAGCTGGAAGGGCTTTGTTTGT